AGGAGCGGATGAGGCTGGCCAGTTGCTTTCGTCGTCGGATAGCCAAGTAGGACCCTGCCACCAGAGGTGATGATTCACTAGCTCGCTTGGGCTAACGCCTCGAGAAGCGCAGTCGGCAGGATTGTCTCTACTGCGCACATGATGCCATCTTGCTTCTGGCAATAGGCGTTGAATCTCGGCGACGCGATTTGCCACGAACGTCTTCCACTTAGACGGATGACCTTGCACCCAGCTTAAGGCTACAGTGGAGTCCAGCCACACATGAATTGAGACCTTTGTTAAGCTNAGAGCTCTCTGCAAGTATGTTATCAACTGAGCTAATAATGTTGCGGCACTTAGCTCNAGTCTGGGTAAGGAAACCTGTTTGAGTGGCGCGACCTTTGTCTTAGCTGCAATCAGAGAAATTTTAAAGCATGGTGAATTATGGTTTGAACGCAGGTACACGACGGCCGCGTACGCGCGTTCAGAAGCGTCAGCAAAGCCGTGTAGCTCCACGACTTGATCTGCTTTACATCCTGGCATCCACCGCGGTACTCGGACCCGTTCCAGTGAGGGCAATTCCTCCTGCAGCTTCTGCCATTTCCTTGTATCTTCGGTGTCCAGCGGAGTGTCCCAGCCGAGGCCTTTTATCCATGCAGTTTGAATTAAGATCTTTGCTTGAATCACCACTGGAGCTAGCCACCCCAGTGGATCGAAAAGTTGCGCCGTTTTAGAGAGAACTGTTCGCTTTGTAATCACTTTTAGCTCGCTGTCCTTTACCGTGAATGCGAAACTGTCATAGTTTGGATTCCATCGGACCCCGAGCATGGCTTGACAGTCTCGTGGTTGCCACTCTCGCGTCTTAAACGGCATTCTGTCTTCTTCCGGCACGCTCTCGAGCAGCTCCTCGTGATTCGCTGTCCATTTCTTAAGTGGAAAACCGCCCGCCTTGCACAAGAGTAAGAGTTGCTTTTGAAGTTCCTGAGTTTCCTTCATCGTGTCGGCGCCAGTCAGAATATCATCCACGTACACGTGTTTTTTCAGGGCTGCTGCTCCCAGTGGAAAATTCTGTTCTTCATCCTGGGCCAGCTGTTGAAGAGTTCGCAATGCTAGGAACGGCGCGCAGGCCAACCCGTACGTTACCGTATTTAATTTGTAGTCTTGAACCTTTTCTGTGGCGTCATATCTCCACAAGATCCTTTGTAGGTCTCGATCGTCCGGATGAATTAGGATCTGTCTGTACATCTTTTCGATGTCTGTGGCCAAGACAAACCGGTGCGCTCGCCACTGCAGCAGTATGTCCGTGAGGGCCGGTAAAAGATTTTCTCCAATTCTCAAATTTGCGTTCAATGACTCACCTGATGGTACCAATTGTGATCCGTTGAACACAACTCGAAGCTTGGTGGTGAGGCTTGAATCACGTATCACTCCATGGTGCGGAAGGTAGCATGTTCTTTTCCCCTCTCCCTTTTCATCATGTATGATGGCTGGAGACATATGCGCGAGTTCTTCGTACTGGCGCATAAAGTCAGAGTACATCGTGTGTAATTCTGGCTCGCGCGTGAACCTGGTCTCCATTCTGAACAAGGAGCTCATGGCTGCTTGTTTTGTGGCTGATAAGTCAGGTGGTTCTCTCACAAGCGGGAGTCTGACCACGTAGCGACCCTCTGCGTTCCGTGTGTGTGTCGCGACAAAAGATTCTTCGCATTTTTGTTCATCTTCTGTCATCGAGGAAGCTTGAGGCAGTTCTTCTTGCTCCCAAAATCTCCTGACCAACTCCGTTAAGGCTTCCGCCTTTATACACTGGTGAGCGCACAATTTGTTAGAGGAAACTCTCGAGGATGAGGTGACATTTCCGGAGATGATCCAACCTAAGACAGTTTGTTGCG